AGAATATATTAAGCAAAAGGTAATAAAGGTAATATAATAGTACTTATTAAAATCATAACAAATTAACAGCATTATTTATCTTTCATAAGTTAAAATTTAAAAATTTCATAGATCACTATTGTACTATACGATACTACTACTTCATAATAAAAAAGTGTGGCAAAGTAGACTGCCTTATTTGTCACCTCTGTCATTGTATAGTTGAAGAATTTGAACTTCTTAAACAGCTTTCAGATCCAACCCCTGGTGAGAATTTGCATTATAAATTATTTGATGAATTGTATGGCTCACTAACAACAGAAGAATACAGACTTTCTCTAAAGAATTCGAAACTAATAAAATCAAAACCTGGCAAATTAAAGATAGCCAAATTAAAACACACAATACTATTCTATCCATTAGCAGCCCGTGCAAAAAATGTTAGCATTACTGTATCTTGTGTTGAATGTGAAAAACTATATTTACTATTTAGTATGAAAAAGCTTATCAATAAGGATAAAGAAATACTTAAAAGTTTCTTGAATATAATCTTATATATATGCAGGACTTTCTTTTATAATACATATAATCTGATACTAGCCAACATAGCAGAACAAACTGATATACAAGTTATTAGCTTAGATATTGCCAATAGTTTTGAAAATGTAACCAATTCTAATAATATAGATGAGGATTATATTATTATAGAGCCTGATGACCAAGATCATGATGATAGTAATAATAAGCAAGAATTATGTAAATTCACAGAATCTGATTATAGTAGCAAGGATGAAGAAATTAATATAGAGGATCTAATTAGAATGCTTTTCAAAAGGGTTTTTGTTAATGACTCATAGATCTGTGCATTGCCAATTAAAAAACCATATTATTCAGTAGGTATATATCCTGATATATGCTATAGTTGTGGTAGTGCTGAAGACTTAAAGAAAGTAAAAAGTGAGCTGCCTCTTTGTGTTAAATGTGATAATACTATTCTTCTGAAAAATGGTTTAAATGAAAACAAGGTAGTAAAGAAAAGAGAAATACAGTTGACCCTCGTTAATATCAACCTGCGTTAATATTAACCTAAGCCACAAAACAAATTTTTAGAAATTTTTATATATCAAAATTCCTTCATATATATCAACTTTAATATAAACTTTTGTTAATATCACTATCAACATAATTATAAAGGTGGTCCAAATAGGTTGATACTAATGAGGGTCAACTGTAGCACTATAAGAAAAAAAATTGAAATGGCTGAACTAGTAAAGTAAGCAAGAAAAAGCAGATACAACCATTCAAATAAAAATTTATAAAGCAATCAAAAAATTTAATACGCTTTTCTGTTTCTTTTTGGTCAAAATTTGCTTGTAAGATTTTGAAACTAAACGTTAACCAAAAAAAAAAATTCAAATTATATAACTTAACTGTCGATATATAAAGAATAAAAATCAGACTTAAAAGATTAAATAGTATAATATCTCTAATATGTATATTAAACTACAACTATTATATATCTTAGTGAGCATTACTTGAATTTGTGTCAGGTTTATGGTGCAGCATGTATTTTTTAAAATTCATTCATGCTAGAGATAGAGTTAGTATTATGAGCTAAAGAAGAGTAGTTTTTATAATAAAATTAACTACTGAAAACTTATTGCTAAAGCACCAAAAGGTTTCTTATATTTAATTTTGAGAAGTGAAACAAATATTTGTTTTAAATTTTCTTGATCATGTTATGTTGCACCTGATCTTGTAATCTGATTCATAATTTAGTAAATCTGCACCACAAACCTGGCACATATTCAAGAGGTGCTTTTAGCAATATACCCATGAATATAGCTCTTATCTCTTCTAACTATTCTTGCAATTAGTCAATTGTTAATGAATGAAAGTTGTAATAGATTAAACTTGTCAATATTTTAGAGCTTTTAGAGTCAAATAATCTAAACACAGTATTCATGAAATTTATATTTTGCTCCTTTAATACTTTATAGCTATTGCACTGACCTGTGTCTAATATAACAATCCCATGCCAATAAGTAAATAAAAAAAGCACAGGTTGCTATATAAGACCTGAGCAATAAAGTAATCTATACATAACTAGTAATCACATGTTTGATTCATGTAATTTTATTGGTTGATTATTTTGCCTATAGTGATCTGCATTTCTATTAGCTAATTTAAAAAAAATTTGAAATTTGAAATCTTAATTTTTAGACCTGGCCGGGTTATAAAATCCAAAAAATTTACTTTATGTGGCCTTATATATAATATTAAATTATTTAAATAAAACTTTATTGGTTATTTATTTTTGTTAGACAATTATTATTTATTACTAATACAATTTATTACTACTTTCTGATTAACCAATTATTTGGTATGTTTTGATTTCAGATTAATTAAGGGTAGGGTATATAAATCATTTGTCATATGATTTTAGTAGTACAATAAGATTTATATAGAAAATAAAAATATGCTACTAATAAAACTTCTTATAGCTGTAATTATCTTTAATCAAAATTTTATAATATATAAAACAAAATATTCTTTTTATAATAGCAAAATTTTAATATATAAAATATTTAAAATATATTTTTATATGTTGTAAAGTTTGCCTCAGTGAGCTCAAATTTGCCTCAATTATACAAAATGATTAATTTTGATTGGTTGATTTCATATGATCATCATATGATTTTTGTAACTAACTTTGATATCTAAAATTTAAATATTCATATCTTGCCAAATATTAAACCAATTTTAATAATTTTACTATCATTAGAATCAGAAAAATCTGCTCTATAATTTTTACTTAATAGTCTAAAATAATTGGCTTAATTAAATTTTGTAAAATTTTAAAATAAAAAATAAATATAATGAGTTTTATATATAATTCATAATTTGTACCCCTACCTTTAAAATAAAACAAATAGTAACTAATTAGAGTTAGATTAAGATTTGATTAAAATAATAACTAAAAACTTTTTTTAATCTAAAATTTTACAAGAAATTTTTTTTTATTAGAATAAAAAAGCAATTTTATAGGCAAAATTTTAAGAATAGAGTATTAATATTTTTGAATTTAAAATAGATTATAGACCAATATTGTATAACCAATTTCATATAATATCATATAAACATATATGATTTCATCAATCAAAATTAGCAATTTTTTGTACTATCTAGAAAAAACATATAGTGATCTGGATAAACTTTAATTATATGTGAAGTTATAATTTTTTAAAACAATACATATTGTGCAACTTTACTATCATAAACAAACTGTTTTAAACTACATATCATATAAATTTGATACATATTAATTAAGATATTAAAAAGGTTTATCAAAAGCTTTTTTTTATTTACTATATAAAAATCCAATATATCATGTAGATTATATCAGGTCTACTGAAAAATTAATTGCAATTAATTTTTATCATACATCATACAATTAAAATTATCATGACGAAATAATTTGCTATGATTAATAGTGGATATACAGTATATGTAATCCAATTACGTAAAATTGCAATTAATTGACCAATAATAGCTGCACCACCAATCAATTAAGTTTGAAATATTGCAATTAATTGACCCCACAATCAATTATTTGGTAGGTCTGGATTATATGAAAAATGATCTACATTTACCCTACTCTTAAGTTAGAAGCGATTTTTTTTAAAAAAATCACTTTTGCTTCGATTTTCACGTTATACCTGATTCTGCATCCTGATTGGTCGATCGGGGTAATGATGTATCGCATTGGTGATAAATGATAACACACTTTTTTTCATTAGTTATTTTTTTTTTTATTAATTATTTTGTTCTAAATACTTCAATAATTTGTATTACTTACTAGTTTTATCGAAATTAATTCTAATTAATTATATATATTGTTTTAAGACTAATATTGCGTTTAATAAAAAAAGTTATTATTTTAATTATATTGGTTTCAAAAAATGATTGTGTACTGGCATTGGTAGCATCGTTTTAACAAAGTGGACAAAACACAGTAAAATCTAATCTCGTATAGTTAGTTATACGAAACTTGTAACAAAAGATCATTTCAATTTACAAATAATCATATGTGGCGTGGCGTCACATGAAATCATGTGAAAGTGAAAATTTTGACAGTAATGCAAAACATTCGTTTTTGATACTCCTATGCCTACTTTTTTGATACACCTAGATGTACCTTAAAATTTTCTATACTTTTTTGATGCTCAAGTATCATCATCAAAAATTCACCCACGTGATGATCAATGCATGAATAGCAATTTGATGTAACATAATACAGTCAGGAAAATTCAAAACAAACTATTCATTTAGAAACTGCCTCTAACATATGTTCTAGCCCTAAATAAACCAACTTCAAAAAACTTTTAGATACTGGCTAAAATATTACAAACCAGTAAATCATGCTAAAAGTTTTTTTAAAAAGTTTAAGCTATACCGAATACTAAACAAACGATATTTTTTTTAAAAAAAAAACAACTTTGTTACATGAATGATATTTTCAAAATATTTATTACATAAATGCTATGTTTAAAATATTTATTACGTGATTAAAATTTTTTAAAAAAACTTTATTTACATTATCTTTAAAAAAACCATCATGTATAAAATATATTTTTTTCAAAAAAAAGAAAAAAAAGCTTATATAAATATCGGTTTAAAAAAAATTCATTGTTTGTTGTATAATCTTTTTTAAAACTACGCGAACAGGCCGAAATAAAGTGT